CAGGCTGGTTTCAGACCTCGTCGAGGTTGTATAGACCACGTTTTCGCTCTTCGCCAAATCTAAGAACACTGGAACTCCTTTCTTAGACCATCCGTTTTTATCTTCTTCAATCTGAAAGACACTTTCGACTCAGTCGAGCGCTATAAACTCTGGCGCCGTCTCTATACTGTACCCGAGAAGTTACTTTCAACTTCGTTACCTCTTCATACCAACAAACGAAGCTTAGTTCGGGCTTGCGGCACTTTTTCGCCTCAGGTCACTACAGAAAGTGGTGTTCGCTGGGGCAGCTCTGTCTTCCCATTTCTGTTTAACTTTTTCAAAGTTTTAATTCTTGAAATAGCCCTATCTTCGTGCTAGGATAATTGTATCGATTGGCTCGCAGGTGGTATACTGTCTGATCTGGAGTATGCAGACGATATGGTGCTGCTAAGTGAACATCCAGGCAAGCTGCAAGCTTTTATGGATAGTTTGAGTGTTGGTGTATCCATGTTTGTCATGGGTTTTGCACCTACAAAGCGTAAAAGTTTGCTACACGATTGGTTTGTTCTAACCTGATTTCACTATGACCGGGGAAGTGGTATGGAAAGTAGACAAACTTTACTATTAGGGTAGGTGTATCCCACCAGGAGCACGCGGCACACGTTAAATTTCGGCACGCATACAGAAGACTCGGTTGACATTTTGCCAACTTGAGACTTCTGCAACGGCGTCGCAACATTCCGCTCTCCCTGGAGAGCCGAGTGCATACTGCTGCAGTTCTACCAGTCCTATTCTACGGTGCAGAGACTTGGCCATTACAGGAACAGGTTAAATATAGACTTTTAGTGTTCGAACACCGCCGTTTACGTCGCACTGCACGAATCTGGTGGAGAAACCGGACGAGCAATGCTGAGATAAAACGTAGAGATTTAGGTAATCTCGGTCGTCCATTTAAGTAAGTGGTCGACCTCCATAGATTACGCCGGTTTGGATATGTGCTACGCATGTTACCAAATAGGTTGTCACGGCGCGCGATGTTTTCCGAGGCAGGTAAAGGTTGGAAAAGGGTCAAGAGCGTTCACAGTTGGACCTGGCATGAGGATATAAAAACCCTAACCAAGAGACTGGGTCACATAGGTCCCGTTAGGTTCCCTTGCTGGGGACCCCTAGATCAGGATCACCGATGGTTGGAAACATTGGGTGATATGACTGGGTGACGGAAACATTTGCGCTCGTGCATCTACTCATTAGTTTTGCAACCCCAGTCTTTATTAATTCTCTCTCCTATTTGACCCTGCTCTTGACATTCCAATCTTCGTTCTGTTGTTTTATCCAAATGGACGGCCAAAAGACAGTAACCAAAACCGGCGAATGAAAGCGCATGGTTCATTGTTGTAAAAACTGAAACTGAAACTGAGAATACTTAAGGTGGATGCTCTTTGGTCATATGTCGGAGCAGATGGAAAGAAAGCACACTTTAATGGTGAACACATATATTGTTGGAATTGCTTCGCAAAATCCTCCCTTGTGTTTGTTTGCATTCTGGAGCACAAGGTTTTGGTATATTTACTAGAAAAGATTTGTTTATTTTTAATCTAAGCTGTAGAGGGTTACATATTTAATGGCAAATGTACAAGGATGTCTTTTCCATAAAACGAATCTAAAGTTTGCTGAGCATGATATCTTGCGTTTAATTTTTATTGTTTTTAATTTTAATTTTTAATTGTTTTTCATTGGTATCAGTACCCGTTGGGAAAAATGATATGTTCAAAAGAGCAATGGTTCTTGGTAGCTGAGAATTTTAATTTGGATGGCAAAACACGACAGTGTAGTTAATCATTGTTGGGTGTAGTGTCGGGCAGCACACGGAGCACTTCCATTTGCAGTGGGTGGGTACCTATTCTTCTAGTTTAAAAGATGTAATCTGAATATTCAAAGGTTAGCCCATGGACAGGAATACTAAATAAAGGATATTGCCAAAACATGTTATCCGTTGTTGAACGATGTGTTCGATCATTTGAGCTTTATAACTATTAATTTACTCTCACACAGACTGAGTGTACCTTTTTAGTTATTCCTCCTAAAAGTCTAATATGTTGCCTGAAGAATCTAGCAAACGTCCAAGGATATACATGAGATCTTAACTAAGTGTCCATAATTATTTGTTAAACATTGTTTTTAATAAAGCTACATCCTTTGGACTTATTATAACACAGAACTTGGTTGAATTAAGAACCGCACTGTTTGGTAACAGGTAGTTTTTATATCTTCCGAATCAATGTCACGCCTGTGTTAGTCAAGCATTATACAGTTCGCCAGTCCTAGTCTCGGGGCATAGATTGCTCTATCCAATCAGTAGAAAGCATGTCCTTGAAGCTAGGAAGTTTATGCTGCCTCCTGTTCATTACACAATAATATGCAGCATCGCCGAGTTTCCGAATAAAATTCTTAGTCATGGCATCCTAGTATCAATATCTCGCAACATGAGTTTGATAAAACCATGCATCAGCTTACAATGTTGTCAGCAATGCTGTCAGAGAAAGCTACTTGAACGCTACTGTTTATTTCTGCATACATCCAGACTTAGTGCACGGTATTTATGATTGTTCAGTTTAATCTAATCAATTGAGTTGCGTTTCTCATAATCACTTTCAAGTTTTATGTAATGGTATTATGAAAACGTTTCATAGAAATCTTAATTCCCCAATCCAGCCTCGCTGGTTGAGTGTTGAGTGGTTTGATAAATGAATGAAAATTTATGGTTAATGCTAAGGAATTTTGCTCCTCTAATGATTGTTTGTAAAAGTATTCGCCACTCATCCAGGTTTTACTGAAAGCTCGCATGGCATGTACTTTATATTTTGCATTTTAATTATCATATCGAGCAGTTCAGCTGACGTTCATATTTCTTGTCTTGATTGCCACCGAAATCGTACCTTTTCTCATTTTGAAGGAGCTCATGGAATGGCCCAATGCCAAGCGAGCTCCCATCCGGTTGTGTTTCGGTATTGCTGACGGCACTACAAAGTTGTATTCAGAAGGAACCAACCAAAGAAACAATACCTCAGATCCGGGACATTCTGGATCTGTTCTGTGTTGTTTGTCGGTAAGTCTTTCCGCTGTTCTTAGTCGTTTTACCTAAGCCTTTAGAAATTCGGAAACGAAGTGGGTCATCCGTGAGACGGCAAACTCACTAGAACTATTTGAGCAACTTTTCAAACAGGTAGGGAAGATATTGTTAACTTTTATCAAGAAAAATGAATACAGTTCCTCTGTTACTTCGATAATCAATACGAGCTCCCGTTATCTCCAGCTACCGAGTTAGTTGGTCTTCTTTACGATCAGCAAAGTTATTGGTGGCAATGGAAACAAGCGTAAGTCACTAAAATTTTCATTCCACGTTGGTTTCTTAGTTGTAAGTTTTTATTTCTATTACCTTGGTGGCAGAAATCAGCCATATAACGCTGTGAAAGCCGATTTAGACGATGGAATCTGTTTTTAAAACACGACATGTGAAACCGAAATGGCTCAATTACAGGTTGTTTGGGTAACAGACATAAAAGCATTTGATATATGTTGCTTCAACCAATCAGGATAACACATATGTCTAATTTTGACCTTCAGATCAAAATACTATACTTCTGTCACATGTCCGACTCAGTTTATTTTGAACATTGCGGATCGTTTTCATTAATGATTATCTTGAGTGTAAGATTATTTCCATGTGCTTTCAATCGGGGCTTCACGAACATGATTTACTTAAAAAAGGCATTTTCTGTTGAACTGGTCATTCCCGACGATCCAGAAAATTGTTTATCTATATGGATTGCCACATATCGAGTTCAGCCCAGAGATCACACGGCTACAAGTGACGGGTACTGTGTTTCTGATCAGGTCATCATGTGACTTGAGGATGACAGGATGTGATTCTGCAACTCATATTTAGCATATGTTTAATCACCGTTCGAGAGTACGAGTTCTTCTTCATCGTTATTGTCATCAATCTGCGTCTGTTGATTTTGTGATGGCTTGAAGGGCAAACAGGGCACAGTCAGATAAATTCCTTCCACGGTCCCAGAAGGTGTGCTCCTTGAATTAATCATGTGATTCATATGATTTTCGTCATTCTTCTCTGTGAGAAAATTTTCGTCTTTTCGCTCTTGTTACTGAACCCATTTCATTTTTGATGTGACGTGCATGGGTTGTTTAAGGATTATCTTATTTGGGTTTTTAGGTTTGCATTCCAACCGTATTCTCTCTTTAACTGTACTCAGGCTAACTAAGGTCAAGAAGAAGTCAGTGGGATTTTACCTTTAATGATATTCGACTTGAAAAAAGTTTATTCCCAGTATTATACTTATATATCTTCAGTTTTCATTTCAATCTGATGTAAAGGAAAATGAACTGGTATCTTTTATAAGGAGAACACTGCATTTGTTCAACTTGGTCATTTTGCTTTTCCTTTTTCTTTACATAATATGCCTCGGTCCTGTCTCTAATCAGTTTATTGTGCGTTACCTAGTTAGGGAGCTGGAATGCTCACCCAAAGTACATATTCATTAAATGCCATATTTCAAAAAATTTAAAGCCATTTTATGGTTGTTCAGTTCGTGCTTGATCTCTCGATAATGCGCTCTTGGCTATCAGTCATTGTCACACATTAACAGTTTGCTTGTCATGTGCTACATTCATACAACCATATCCAGGTACTCTCTGTGGCAAATCGAAGTGTCTACAGAAATCGTCTTTCTAATGTAAAACCTAACTATGGTACGACACGTTTTTGTTTCTTTGCAGAAGGTATGCATGGATATACTCTAAGTCGAATGCATAGCTGATTTAATCCACCTATTATGCGAAAAACTACGGTTTTAAATGTATTAGATCATAAAGCTGAAACTGTTGGGCTGTGTATACTGTACAAACAAACGGCAACAAAGACAAAACCAAAGGTTGTGGCCGCAAGTGACACCTATTAATGTAACTGTTACATTATATAGATTCTTTTCATGCAAACAATTTGCACTGGGTTTTCCCACGCTTTTGAAGTTGTCTTGTCATCGTTTAGAATCAGTTGGAAACAGCACTGGGAGCTTTCCAGGATTCAGAACTCCGTGTGTTAATCCGGATTAGGCGATGCTAGAAAACATCCTTCTGCATATTGTTCCTGTAATTCATCCATTTTAAGGTTGGACCGTTTACCATTCAAGTGTGTTCGCATTCTCAGATGAGGTAAAGTTCTGCATTAATAATTTATCTGCAAAGTCTGTTGATGTCAAAGTTTCATCTGTTTCGCTTTGATTGTTCATATTGTTGTGGATATGAGATTTTGAACTTTCCAGAACGCGCTGTAACATATCTAAAGTACATTTGGATAGCTCGTATTCTCCTTTTGGGTTATTTCTGAAGGTATTGCTACATATTTTTGATGCTTCATGAAAAAAGTATTCAGTCAACCAAAAATAGTATCCTTGGTTTGTTAGCCTTTTCATTCGCAATGACAGTGGTTGCCAAACCCGAACCAGGTTTCAAAATGAATATTCTCAAATGCGTTTTACTTCTTTTTGCACGCAGCTATGAAACCGAAACACCTTCATTTCAGCTGGTGCACACAAAAAGCTCGGGTATCCGGAATCTAGTCGTTATCAGGGAAATAAGATGCATCATTTTCCGTAAGTTAATCATTTTTTTATTTGTTATACTGAAAAAGTACTCGACCTAGTTTCAATTTACGGTTGGATTTTATCAACACAATTCTATTCAAGGAGATATCAAGTAAATCATTACTTTTAATTCAGCACCCTGTTTGAGTACATAACGAATTCCTTCAACAATTTCGAGTCTTAATGAATTGTCATTCGTTATCATGTGTTACATGTATTTGATATATTGAGTGTCCCGTGTAAAAAGTTAAGCATGAAAGTTATCTGTTTTGTACGTTACTTCAGAATTCCTGTTTGAAACGAAAGGTGACAGTTTTATATTTAGTATGATAAAAAAACAGTAGGATTAAATATATTTGGTATCTGTAAACTGTTTTTCGTCGCTGTCAACAGCACTGCCCGCTGTGGACGTGTTGCCGTCCGACTTTGACACAACCCAAGGAGTTACAGACTTTGGT